CATTATGTTCTGTCTATTTAAAGTTAGATGAAATATTTTGCATATAAAATCTAAATTAAACTTAAGGTATCATTCTGTCATTCTTAAAACATTAAATATACCATCCATGTAATCTGGAATGTTATGTTATAACACACACATTGGACTGAAAAGTAGATTATTTGTGTCAATTTTACAAATATTTCATACTATCTCTCAGGAGAAAGCAAGAGGAAGGTCCGTAGGAATGGCAATCTGGCTTCAGGTAAAAGAACTCTCAGGAACATGGTTGCAAGAGTCTGAGCATTTCAGGCTGTTTTTGATGTTAAATATGAAGAAAGTTCCATCTTGAAATTCTTAACTTGATATAAGACTCTATCCTTTAGCATATCAATAATGAAAATCTACTTACACCAAATTATGATAAAGAATATGATTAACAAAGTAAACAAGTGCATCTAAATTGTATGATGCATGAGGTGATTATAACAGAACAGTACTCTGATAAAAGTTTAGTTTTCTGAATTTTACTGAATGCTAATGGGAGTCATGTGGTTCTTCCTATGACATCTTAGGAAATAAAACTGCACAAGAATCCAGTTATTTAGAAATACTTTTAAAGTAAATATAATGTTGTGCAAATGATACCAGTAATAAAAATTAGATTCTATAATTTGCTAATCTTGTGCATACCAAATCATTTGCCTAATGAAAACTATAAATGTAAAAAATTTAACTTCAAAAATAAGTGAAAGAAAAATAAATTGTAGATAGAAGTCAATAAGTTACATAAATTATTTTACATAATTTATCAGACATGTATTTATGCCTCTGTACATGCATAAATCACAGATTTATACATCAGAATGTCTTTTTTTTGTTGTTTTCACTTATTATTATGCTAAAATAAGATGGTATGGAAATATATAAGGAACAGCAATACAAATAATGTGGAATACACACTTTATAAGTGAATACACACTTTATGATGTTTAGAAGTATGCAGGGACTACAGAAATAACTGTTGGAAGTTAATACAGATTATGTTTCATATTTTTAGAAGCTATCATTAATATGCCATTACAAATAAATGTTAAAGGAACAATAAAATCTATTCAAATGGGCACCATAAACTCACTTTATTGCCACAGATATGTTTTAGTGTATATATCAATTTATCTGATGAAAATATATTAATAACAACAAAACAAGATAAATAAATAAATAATCCTTTGATCAGTCCCTGATTTCTGCCATACTAATGCTTTGATGAATCAAGGGGAGTTAATTATTCATTATAAATTTCAAAGAGGAGTTTTTATTGAAAAATTTCTGCTATTGGTCCTTCTTGAAACCAATATCAATAGAATTCACGACAATCTCAAACACTGCAATAAAATAAAGGTGAGAGGCAATCACTCAAGAGAGGTGTCTAGAATGAACCGAGCTCAGAGAGCTACATCCCCGCTGAGTACAGTATGTAAAGATAATTATAATACCTTGAATTATACTAGGAAAGAAAAATATTAATCAAGAAGTTGCAGTCAAGGCTTTAAAAAACAGAAACCTTTGTTTTATTTCTGATGAAGAACATGAAGAAGTTTTTTATACTAGCCCTAACACATGGCCACCATATTATATCTCCATTGCACTAGCAAAATCAGCTGTAAGATGTGTTTGATATATTTCATTATGTTAAGGTTTATTTTATGCCAAAGAAGGTAGTATAAAACCAACCCGACTATAATAATAGGATAAAGTCTACTCAAAAATTAACATGATGAATTAACACATCTAATTTTATTGGTTCATAATAAATTCAAGTTTATATAAACATAACTTTACACTAATAGCAAAAAGTTCAATCTTGCAATAAATTATGTAAGAAGGAAACTAAAAATATTACAACATTATCCTTGGTTAATTGTCTTCATCATGTTAGTTAAACTTATCTGTGATACTAGTAAGTAGTATTCTATCTCTAACTCTTGTTTGGTCTCTGCCAATACATTTTCAATAGAGAAATGAAGATAACATTTGTAGGTAATCTGCACTGCCACATATACCTCCTAATGTATTTTCCTGTGCTCTAGCTGGAGACAGACAATTGCAGGACAATCACTTTTCCCAATATTCCTTAACCACAGTTCTCCTTTGATGCTTGAGGACCTCATTTAGGTCTGGTGAGACAGGGTTCTTTCCCTCCCATTTAGCTATGTTTTTCTTTAGCAAATAAGAAAACATTTGAATAATGCTGATATTTTTGGGTGTATAAGCCAATGTTCAACCTAGATTAATGAATATGAAGAGTTTCCTCACAGTAAGGAGCACTTCTGTCTGCCTTAGCTATGACGCAAGATACAACTGCTAGTGACTCTTTTAGTATTATTATCAAATATATATTTAAATTTACTTCAAACAGAATTGTCTCTTTAGTCCAAGCTGGAGTACAGTGATGCTACCACAGACATTGACTCCAATGTCTAGTGCATATTTACTATGTGTTAGTCATCATGCTAAGTATTTTTCAGGCTTATCATATTTAATCTCCCTCACTACCCTATGGCATAGACACTACTATTGTCCTAATTTTACCTATTAAGAGCATAACCCTTTAAAAAGAAGGTCAAGTAATATGCCCAGTATTCAACCTAGAATGTTGAATCTATCCACAGGATGGATTATTTGGTGCTGGGTAGAAATTATGTGAAGTTTGAAAAGAGAAATGAATTTTGAATAGAAAATAAGATTCTTAAAAATTATCACTGTCACATTTTCCTTATTTTCTCCAATCCACAATTCTAATAAAAATGAAACATTCAGAATGCAATCACAACAGAGCCAAGACCTGTAGAAGGAAAGACTCAGTGTGGTCAATGTAATTTAATTTGAACGGGATTTAAAAAAGTTGAACAGGAGCCTGCCAAGTTTCATTTTTAGTCTATATGTCCAACGAATTCTGTCCCTCAAAATATTCATTTAATCTAATAAAATTCATTTAATCCAAAATATTCATTTAATCCAAGACCAAGCACTAAGACTAATTGCCTTAGCACTTACAGCTAACAGAGTCCTATGTAAAATAGTATTCACTTAGGTGAATCTGTAGGCAAAATTAATAAGTTTATCTGCAGGTAGGTGCTAATTAGTCCATTCTGGGAGATGAGATGTCAACAAGGTATAGTTATTAAGTAGTGAGCTTAGATTACTACTAGGTGGTAGGGAAGCCAAAATTCAAAATTTAGGATCTTGACAGATTGAACCAGTTTGCTGTTTGATCTATCAGGGATAAAAAAGAAAGGCCTTTTTCCATCACTAAAGTTTGAAAGGGAAATAAAACATGTGAATATATTCAACTTGGCCACTGAAGAATTACATGGTCTTTGGCAAGTCAGTTAATTTCTCTATGTTTCATTTTCATTCTGAATACGTTATCAAACTATAAATTTCTGGTACTGTTGATTTTACCTTTTGCATCTATAGACTAAAGAATTTTTTTAAATGGTGGGCATAGTTTTACTAAAGAACAAACACTGGAAGTAGTTAATCTAACTCACTCTTCAGTTTCATGAAAACAATTTTTCTATTGGGATTATTTTAGGAAAAAGAGTTACCAAATACAAACAATGCCTGTTTCATTTTTAACACACTGTTTTTACAATTATAGTTTTGGATGGGTCTTATTTATTAACAGATATAGTTAGCTTTGAAGCACAACTCAAATTTATCTCCTTTTGAAATATACAGGGAATATTCAGATATTATTTTAATCTTTCACATCATATTTTAACTTTACATCATTTCAGCAGAACTTACCCCACTTTTAAATGGTTGCTACTTTTTCAAATGTCATTATTACAAAGACAGTTCAGTAAGGCCAAATGCTTTAGAATTAAAATGAATGAGGCCACAAAACACATCATTTCAGATCATTATGAAACTTGCTTTTGTATAAAATGTATTATCAATCCCCTGAGTTCATTAATTCTACAAAATAGTACATTATTGCTGTTTGCATTTCTATTTTGGTTTAGTATTTAACAATTTAAGGATGTTTCAAATTTTTCACAAAGGTTATCATTTCTATTAATTTAACATTGTTCTTATTGAGAGAAGTCTTTTTTTAACCAAAGCATGAAATTAGATATTTCTTCTTTATCCAGGAAGATACTGATTATTTGTTTAAAAGGTTCTTAACTGTGTTGTGTTCTATCATTTATAAATTATAAAATATTATGTATAGGGTAGTAAAAAATAAAATTTACATGAGTATATTTAGGAGAACTCTTGTCATGGAGACAAAATAAAGTACATTCATTTTTTAAGGAAACCAAAAAAAATATGTGAAATATATGACTTACATATTCAGAGATTCCTTAACCATATAGGTAGTATCCATGCTAAATAGAAACATGAAGTTGCTCTATTTAAAAGTCTTGAATGGCCACTTCAGGATTGCTATTCATTTCCAAGGCTAACTGGGTTGTGAATTGGGTCACGAAAGCAATTTTCATTGAATATTATAGTCTAAAGAGACAAATTACACTCTAGTGACAGAATATGTAAAAAAGGCCTTGGCATATTTATATGGCAACTTGCAGAAGATGGAACAGCAACTTTTCCCTAAGAGAGGTATTGCGCCTACCCATTATCTCTATTCATTTATTTTCTATGTATCAGCAATCTCTCATCAAATTATTCTAAAAGTTCAAGAAAAGTGAAGTGGTGATACAACCATTCATATATTTATATCATATGCCTTTATATATTTAAGATATGCTTTAATGTCACCAATTTACAGACTGTGAACTCTATATTTGGTGAAACATACTTTAAGTGATACTACAGTAAGTACCAGAAAATGATTAATTATATCTACATCTTAATATTAGTCATATCTTAATTATTTGCACCAAATGAAGGACGTGGCTAACAGAAAATCATGGATAACCTGCTTAGTGTGCTTGGATCTATGGGCTTGTGTTTAGTTGCTGAATTTCTAATTGCCCAGTTTAACTTACTGCAAATGTGTTGTGAGGATGCCCATCACCAGAAGAGTGGCCACAGACACATAATTTTGTTTCTGGAAGCAATTCCTAGATTAAACAAAGAGAACCAGGAGTTGGCTTTTTTTCCCCAATCTTAAGAGTTATGCTAATAATGTACATGATCATTTTTTAAAACTTTTAAAATTATTTTCTTGGTAGATCAACAAAAGCAAAACTGTTCCATCTTTCTCTCACAGTTAATCCTAACAGATTTTTAAAATTGCAATAAGTTTGCAGATGCAAAGTTAAGTATTCATAATGAATTAACCACTAATGAAAAAAAAAATCATTGATTCTATACAATGATGCTTAATTATAAGACTCACTTTCAATTTCTAAATTAACACTATGGCAATGTTAATATATAGTCCTTTAGATTTAAATGGCAGCTATTTTAGACTAAGGGGTGGTACTTGTCTTTAAACTTTGTCCCTTTGTGAAAAAACTAATTACTGAGTTGTAGTCAATTGTATCCAATAAAATTAACACAAATCCTGTCTTGTTATGGTATGTAAGAACAATAATAACAAGAATACCTTTAAGTAAATTGCCTCAGTCATGCATTACCATAACACAAATATTAGCATTAAAAATAAATTTAGGACACGGAGCTAAGCTCCATCATCTGTGTTAAAACCTGTTGAACTGTGCCATTTGTACGGAAAGCTATATGCTCAAATGCATAGTTTGCATTTTTGTATGTAAAAGCAAAGTGATTATTTATTGATAATGACATGGAATGTCATTTTTTACTTAGTAGCATTAGACATTTCAAAGATTTTGTCTGAAGGGCAAAAGGATTACCCTGCATTTGACAGACCATGTGACAACATTTCCTTAGACTTCATGTATGATATAAAAGGATGATCCCCATTCATAAGATACACAGGGGAAATTATAAATATATCGGAAAAGAAGAAAAGCAAGGAGAGACGTGGTAGGGGTGTCAGGAAGTATTTGTAGTGGTTTGATGCATGTAAATATTACATCTTATAAATAATTCTTTTCAAATACATCTCTGAAGTTCAGGGGCTCTGTTTAAGAAATGGATTGCATATACATTACATGGCTATATGTCATTTTCTTCACAGTAAGAACAACAATAATTCAAATAAGAAAAGTGGCTTCCAAAATATTTCTTCCCTTCGATTTCCTATGAAGCATGTCACCTGACATTGGCAGATGAGGACTAGCGAAAAGATGTTCAAGTTACATTTTACTGTCAGAATCCAACAAACACGTTTTCATCTAAATTATTTTGTCAACAGTCTTGTAGTACCCTTGCTAACCTTATTTGGCACTAGTGCATAATTAGATACACAGGGGTGTGACTCCAATTGAAGGTGTTGGCATTGTAGCACTCTGTGAAAATATTAACTATGAGGTTAACTCCAATTTTCTCTTCTTTAATTAAATGCACATGGTACTAATGAGGTAACCTACTGTTCCTTGATAGCACTAATTAGCTAAGAGGAGAGTACACTCTCACACTGCAATTTAAACCTAAAAATAAGGTTGAAATATGCTAATTGCAGGCAATTTAAAACAGTACAAGTTGAAGAACTAGTCATAATAAGAGAAACTGACTGCTTTACAGCTAGGCAGCTGTAACTTTGGTTAAAATCAAAACAAGCCACACAATTTTTGGACTGCTATTTAACAAGGTCATAAGCCTCCTAAAAAATGAATTCCTACTTCATACAAGAGCAATGAACCAAACTAGCAAGAACTCCTCAGATCATCATTCATGTACATAAAGCCAAAAAATAACTGAGTCATTGCACTCTGAAGGTACTATAACACCATCTATATTTAATGTTGAAAAATTAAACTCCATTAATAAGCAACATCACCTAAAATTTTTCCAAGAGCACCCACACTAAATAAAATAGTGTAATTTGTGTCTGCGGCATTAACTAAACATGTCAGTGAAAATTTGCCATCCCAATCACAGGGTCATAAAGGATAATACAGTGAAGAGTGAATTCAACACTTTTGGAATGAAATAGATGGAGAAGAAATTTCCAGACATTTTACAAGAACAGTGGTAAAAATATACAAAAACGCTATGAAATATAAAGGCATAGTTACCATTTAAGGGTCACAGATGCCAAAATATCTGAAGGATTTCTTTATAAAATGGAAATTTTTATCAGATTTCTTCTATAGATTAGAGCTTCAGGATGGAAGCAGCCTAAAGCTTCTTTGTGAGAATGTTCTCAAATTTTGCTCAAATGACTCAGAAACAAAATTTCAGTAAATCTAAGTACAACCCATATGTATCTTTCTTGTTTCTTAAACATTTCCCAAATTAGTTTTAACTGATAAACATGGAGAGGGCTTTGATATAAAGCAAGATGCTAAAGGGCTTTCAAAAACATAAAATTATGTCTTAATTGGTGTAAAAGTACACTTTTTATAACATTTGACTCTCTAAAGTCCATGCCATGTCATCTTATTGTTAATCAGAAATGTTGATTAACCAAACACACACTGTCTCTGACAATGTAAAATATAAAAATTATAACACATTAAAATAACACTATCATTAATCTCTCCTTTGGGATAAAAAAAGGACTGCCCCATCACTTTGGATGCACGATTATAAAATATATGTAATTTAATCAATCAAGAGTTGAGCAAGCAAAAGAAAAGTTATAAAAACAAAGCCTGTGAAAAGAAAAAGTCAACATAAGCTTACTGAAGAAAATAATGTAGAAAAAGAGCATATTATTTGAAAGGCAAAACCTTTTAACTAATAACTCCAACTCCAAGCTTTTAACTTTTAACTTCCAACTAATAACTCCTGGAGTTAAAAGTATGCGAGAATAAACTGCTCTACCATTAGCCCATCATCATGTCTTGTCAAAAGACTTGGTTGCAGAAACTTTGCTTTGAAAAACCCACCCAGCGTCTTCTCATGGCTGCCCAAAAGCTTTCTACAACAAAGAGACAGAATTTTGGCAAGAGAAGCTAATAAACCTCTGACTAACTGTGCTAGAACAGTTCTGTAGAGTTGCAGGTCTGTAAAGGAGCAGCAAGGCGAATGAAATCAGACAGTCATTTAGAAATGGGTATCCTGGAGGCAACCGGACATATTCTAGGAAATCACAGGGAAACACAATGTGAATGGATGTTTTAAGTACTCTCATCTGTTTCAAATAAGCATCACAGAATCTTTTAGCAGTCAAAAAGCCAGAACAATGTATTGGAATCGACTTTCTATATTAACTTCAGAAGTAATCTATTCTTCAGTTAAATATGGATCATTCTAGTTTTCTGTTAAAACATTAAAAAGTAAGTCATTTAATGTTGAAAATGAGAATACAAGCTCTGGAGACAGTTTGCCAGGGTTCTGATCCTGCCTCAAGACTTGCTAGTTGTGTGACCTTGAGCAAGATACTTAGTCTCTTTTGGCCTCTCACTAGAAAGGGGATAATCAGTGACAACATCACGGGGTTATTAACTCCATTAACTTGGAAAGTACTTAAAACAGGGCTGGCATCCATATCCTTCATGCTTATTAGCTATATACTTAATATTTATTAGTAACTGCTAACAAATTCATTACTACTTCAGAGAAACATTCAACATTTTTTCAAATAAAAATTATGGAAGTTCTACTATGTGTAAAATATTATTGTGCTCTGTAAAATATGCAGCAATTCCCCCAAATTGTATTTGCGTTCAAATAGTTTTCAGTCTATCTGATTAGACCTCATGATATTAATTAAAGCTTCCCACATAAATAAAACATATTTTTTTTCTCTTTAGAAACCTGTTACAGGGCCTCGCCTGGTGGCACAGCGGTTGAGCGCTGGGTTGCGAGGCTGCCCGTAGCCTCTGCAGCGCTAGTTTGATCCCCGGCCACGGGCGAGGGTCTCACAAAAATAAATAAATAAATGTTTGTTTGTTTGTTTGTTTTTAAAAAAGAAACCTGTTACAGAAAAACAAGAAGATAATAAGAGTGACTTTTAAGAAAGGATATGGTTTTTAAAAAGTTGATAAAGGCATATTTTTTCATAGAAAAATAAGTTAGGACTATACTGGTTTTTCCTAACAAAAATGTTTTAAATTATAATTTATTCCTTAAGGTTAGCTGCAAGTATGTTTATATTTTTAACACATTTGAAACCATAATGTCTTACAATATTTGGGGTAAAATGATATCTGAATGGAAAAGTAGTCTACATTTTAATGGTGCAAACATTTAAAAATAAGTGCTTAACCAGTTAAACGGTATAGACACATTCTCATTTTACATTTTTTATAGAAGTAACCTTGTTTTATACCATTCCATTTCACCAGTACAACATTACACTTCTCTTGATGTGAAAGAAATCAAACAAACAAAAAAATCAAATGGTTGATTGGCATTTTGCCCCCTCCAACTGATTGTTGGTTTGGTTGGCTATTTTTGGACCATTCCTCATATCTGATGGCAAGTGGCCTGGGACAGTGTGGCCAGAGTTGTATGAGGATATGTGTAAAATTCACAAATCCAAACTATATCATGCTTTTCTACCCCAATTCTTTAAAACATATCAGCAACTGGCCAGCTCTGATAGAGAAGATGAAAAAAAAAAAAATCAATGCCTGATACATTTTGAGTGTTTTATAAAAGACAAGTGCATCAGCGCAGTTGTATTTTTTGGAGTCAGTTAAAAAGAAGCATGGTCCATGTAACCCAAAGGACCAAATCAGTATGAGCGCATCCTTTCAGACTATTCATTTTTCATTCTGAGAAAAAGAAGTCAGCACTACCTTCTTTCCTTCTGTGGCTTGGGCTGCAAATCCCACATGAGGAGAACAAGGTATAGCCATGAAAGAAGTTGAAGTGTAGGAAGCTGTAACTATTTACCAAAGATTCATGATTTTATTTATTTTTAAGGCCACTAATGTATCATATATCATATAGTACAGGTTTACAAACTTTAGCATGTGAAACATGATTAAAAGATGTAAAGGGGTGGGTCTCAACCTGTGCCATGTGTTAACATCAGCTGGGGGGATTTGAATAAATAATGATACTGGGCTTCCCCTCTAAT